AATACACGAGTTTCACAATTTGAGTTGAATTACTGAAATAAATGAACTTTTCCACGACATTCTAATTTATTGAGCTGCACCTGTATATATATATATATATATATATATATATATATTTAGCTTACAGATCTCAGTTTAAATGCCTGTTTGTTTTTATATTATATTATATTATATTATATTATATCATACTACGGGGCTGTTGAATGCTTGAATCTGATTGGCTGTCGAACGTTCTAAGGTGTGCAATTATTTTCAGGGAAACGCACGACGAACGTAGTTCCAGGCAGCTCTTGACCGCATTACATGTCCATATCACTTCGCCAAATAATTTCAGTTATTTCAAAGGTCCTTACAGCCTAAAACAGCAAAAGAACCAAAACCCACAACGACACCAGCCAAACAAATAAATATAGTAAACGATAGGATAAAAACGACAGATCATTTCCATGTTTTTGCAACAAAATTACGTTTTTTTTACGAATTACGAAAGCACATACTCTATCTCTCCCCCGCTCTCTCCCTCACAGATGCACACACATACAAGTTTGCACACACGCTAACATACGTGCTAATCAGGGATTGAAATTAACTTTTTCACTCACCAGCCAATTTGGCTACTAAATTTTTAAGTTACTGTTCATTCATAACTTCTACTAGCCAAAAAAAAAGACAGAAATACACCAACAGTTTGAGGCCGTCTACACTGGCCGTGACAAAGCGACCGTTGCAAATCATTTTGTCAGTACTAGGGGTGTGCGATATTGACAAAAAATAATCTCTCAATATTTTCGGTGATTTTATCGATAAAGATAATTAGACGATATTTTGCTGAGTGTGTTATTGTGCTGATAAACAAATTAAATCAGTATCAATAAAATGAATATTTGCAGAAGTTGCATATGAAGTGGCATTTAGACGCATTTACACGTTAATGCAGCTTAGAGGGACATGGAATGCTTTTTGAAACTGCAGTTACAAATGCACAAATAATGTTTTGATATTTAAAACATGAAATGTTGAATACTGATATTTGAAATTATTTAAAAAATGAAAAGATA